ATGTGGGAGGGTTTCGTCATATGTATGGCACACTCGACATTCCGGATCAAACTCATCACTCCACTTAGATTTGTTCTTGTTGGTGGGAACGACGTTCAAACGGGCACGATGAACAAAACGCCAATCCTTGAACCTCATGTTTAACCCAGTAAACATCCATGACGAACCGTTAGCAAAGGCATCCTTGACCGAAGCACGGGCGACTTTCCCCTGATCAGGTAGGTCTAATAACTTCCGGGAAGCACGATCTTGAGTCACCCGATGGAGGAAGGAACACGCACCTTTCGCTCGTCGCGGACCGCTTGATTGTGTAGCTACAACTGGTGCATCATGCTCAGGAACGGAGAATGTGATGTTGAGGTGACGACACGCTGAACGGGCACGAGTCCACAAGGAGTGCGTACGATATCTGATGTTGTTGGGATTAAATTTGCCTTTATTCGATCCTGATAGAAAGTCGCGAATCAGAGCAGGAGAAGGGTTGTCACGAGCAGCAAACCTTACTGCTGACCATAACTCAGATCTTGCGATGGAAGAAACAAAAGGGTCTGATGATGACAACATCTTGATTGCCTGTACCACCGTTTGCACATCCACTTCAACCAAAGGATCTTGGAAGGCAAGGCCACCGACACTCCGTGAAGCAAAGATTACACAGGAGGAAGCACGAGTTGGAAGGTTGAGGATGGATCTAACTACTTCAACCAGCTTCTTTCGGTATTTAATCAGCGATGCCTTAAGTGGTTCCCCCGCACGGAGAGCAAACGTAAGACAAGGTTGGATGAATGTTCTTATCGTATCAAGTTTTTGCCATGGGGCCAAAAGAGATTCTTGAACTTTATCTAGGTCACCACACAAATCGTCAACAAGGGATTCCAAGCTTGATACTTCACGTACCATACCAATGGGGACTCCCAGGTATCTATAGTGCTCGAATTGACTCATAGATGGCATAATTTTGCCTTGAACGGAAAAGTCGTTTAGTTCAATGTTGTTCTCGCATCTTTTGGAATAGGTTAGGCTAATGGATGCACATTTATCCTGTCGGAAATTCAGACCAATAAGAGATGCTGAGGATGATGCTGCGTCAAGGAGAAGTTGTAATTTCCTTTTATCTCTAGCAACAAGAACCAAATCGTCAGCATAGGCTAATACCGAAATGTCCAGACCGTGGTGCTTGGCCGGGCCAATCGATTGACCTTTGGCAATGACAGAACGAAGGATGATTTCTATGCACAGATTGAAAAGAATTGGTGATAGAGGACATCCTTGCTTAACACCGGCCAAAATTGGTATGGGTGGAGTGGTACCATTTGCCGTTCTGACTTCCGTTGTGGCATTTGTGTAGATATTATTCACAAGGTCAACAATTCCGTCAGGGATACCGAGGTGTTTTAGGGTGATTTTGATCACATCATGTGAAACACTACCGAACGCATTTTTCAGGTCCAACCAGGCAAGGAATACATTCTTTTGTAGGCGTTTCGCATCACCTGTTAGGGAATGTAAAATGAATGTATGTTCGTAACATCCTTCGGTTGGACGAGCACTCTTCTGACAATCGGAAAGGAGGTTGTTGTGGATCGCAAATGATACGAGACGATTAGCGGTTACACTCATGAACAGTTTGTAAATACAGCTCATCAAGGCTATCGGACGGAAATTAGATACATCACTTGCGTCACCTTTCTTGTGTATCAAGATGGTTGAAGAGGTTTTCCAACGGTCAGGAACATTTCTATTCTCCAAGCACCGGTTGAAGATGGTGGAAAGGATTATGCACTTCGGGTCTACAGAACGGAGGTGGCGGTATTCGACTTTATCTGACCCAGGGGCGGAATTCGATAGAGAACGAAGTTTTTTGGCCGCTTCATCCGGAGAAATGGAGGAGTATAGTCGATCATCAATTGGAGCCGAAGGGACAAAATCATCCAATCCCCGTTTCACTTCCTCTGCATTACACGTTTTCTCTCCAAAGACATTAGTGAAGAAGGTGTTGGCATCATCAGTTGAACCAGAATACGATGGCGAGTTATCGTTGAGTACTTTCCTAGCTGCACGTTTTTTCGAGAGACGATACAATGTTTGGATCTTCTTTGCCTCGTGAGGATTATATCGGAGCGGGGCTCTGTTGACATTAACTGGCCGAGCAGATGGTCTATGTGGTCGTCGGGCAGAATAGGATTTCTTCTTCGGTTGTTTGTCGTTACTCGTTTTAATTACATCTTCAGTGAACTCATAACACTGCTCAGAAAATTCTTGCCAAGTGGAGTTACTAGAGAAAACGGATGACCAGCGATTCTGGAACGACTCATCACAATTGCTATGAGAAGAGGTAGGAGGCTGTGCATGATGCTTATTCACATTATCTGAATGAGATGAAGGTGGTGCTGTCGGTGTAAGAAATGACGTATCAGCAAGTGGAGGAGGGATAATGAAGGGGTTCTGGGATGCTGTAGTTGGGGAAGGGAAGAGGGGTCCACCGACACCATCCCCGTCAGTACAACCATTTAAGGCGACCGATGGTTCAGGGGAACGATGCTGGTTAGGGTTCGGAGGGTGCGGGCGGCTTGACTGAGGAGGGGAGGAATTAGGAGGAGGGGAAGGGTTGGTTAAACGGGGAAGAGTGAATGAAGGAGCATTACTATTCACAGCAGTACAATCACTTAAGATGACCACTGCTTCAAGAATTGGTAGATGGGAAGGGATGGAGGTGTTGGGATTACTGGACTGAACAGGACTAGAGAGGGGTGGTGGAATACTTGATGAAGAGGAGCCGATATCAGATGGAATCGAAACGGGTGTAGAGGGATAAACAGGAATGGGTGTGGGTTTCGTATTAATACGGTTGGTTGGGGGTGAGGTAGGGTGAAAAGCGGTAGCTGAGGGGTTAAGTGAAGTTGATTGGAAATAACTATCAAGGAATAAGGGTCGGGGAATGTTAAAGGGATCGTTGTCATCCTCAATGGATAAATCCTCCAGAGTCGCAGATGGTGGCGTAGAGGTATCTTCAGCAGTGCAATCATTTAAGACGACCGTAGAGGTGATATCTACAGGAGTATTATCCGATGAGGGGAGGGTGGAAGGGACTCTCTCATCGGCAGTACAACCGCTAAGGGCGACCACTGAATCAAGAGAGGTAAGTGACTGTGAGGGTGGGGATTGGGATGGGGAGGGGGTGTTGTTAATATGTAAATCCGTTATATTGGTAGTCGAATCGTCATCACGATACGTTGCAGTGGTCATTATCGGATCATCAACAGCTGGTAATTTACTCCGACCACAAATAGACCGCGCAATGTGGACTCCGGCACCTTGACTGGAGAACTCTTTACCACATACAGAACAACGGGCTGACGATATGATCTTAATGTCAGGATGGAGCTTCTTAAAGTGGCGGGTAAGGTGTTGATAATTCAATACAATGGAATCACACAAACAACAATAAAAACTTCTTCTCTCGGGATATTCACGTACAACGGAGACAGAGACAACATTCATGGACAGCGAGTCAGTAGCAATATGTTTTTTTGATCGATGCACTCCAAGACCTTGACTCGATTTGGCAACAAAGTTACAATCAGTACATTTAACAGAAGACATTACGACGGGAAATATAGGCGGTGTATAGCTAAATGCTAATATTAATTGGAAAGAACGGATACTGGGTCAAAACGGCCAACTTGTTGACAATTACAGCCATAATTCGAATAAGGAAGAGATCTTGAATTCCTGAGGCACATAATTAGGGGGAATTCCCCGTACAGCCGAATATCGTAAATAACTGAATAATTAATTGCCGGGCTAACCAAATGACCGTTTGAAAATGAACGAAAAGACCCGTAGTTTGAATTCCTTTAGAGGTATAGTTTCCAAACTTGCTGGAGATATTAGGGACCAAAGTAACTTTAAACCAGTAAAGTTTCAAGAATATAACTGGAGTATTACCAAAGATATACGCGTAGCTTGAATTCCAACGGGGTGTAAACACTTACTATATTAATACAAACAGAACGGTCCACGACTCCAAAAACACGTAAAACAGTACGCAATAATACACAACAGTACAGAATTATATATCAAAATGTTCCCAATAAAGAAACAAAACTGAATCCAGCGACGAATAACAAAACTGACGAACGAAGGATGCAAATATAACGCGAAACGACGATACAAACAGAACAAATTAGACAGGTCTGAATTCAAAATTTATCTAACGGCCAAAACGAACAAATCCATATAACTCTAAAACAGTACGCCGCACGAATACCAAACTTTCACAGGATAATATACACACAAAACGTAGATCACAGCGTAAATTTCACCAGAATCCAGGACGTATTCTACGAGGAAACAGCCAAAATCCAAATTTCGGAATTTACAGCGTACGGATAACAATTATTCCAAAGTATACAAATAAATCCAAATAAAACTTTATAACGGCGCAGTAACGATTTTAAAATCCAACAAACAGGTTCACGAGACGTTTACCAACAATTTAATATATAACTATGGCCTTATAAACAAAAATTTGGCTAAAAATTTAGAAAAGTTAACGGAGCACTAATACTACACTTGATCTTAGCCAAAAGGCCGAGAAGCGATGCCTTCTTCGTCGTTTGCCACACATATTTCTACCGAACATTTGTGCTACGAAAACGCGGTGAGAAGGAGCTCGCTTGCGAGCGATTATGACGTCGACAGGCGCCTGGTTACTCGTCGCACGAGCACGGCAAGTCCGTGATGATCGCCCACCG